ATAAATCCTCTCTTTCTTCCTTTACCTAATGCTTCATAATGTAAGCAATTTGCTAACCTTCAGCATAACCAACTGGATTCTCTCCATGAATATTATATCCATGTAAGACATTATCCAATATTAATATTGATAGATTAGATATTGCACATAAATCAACACAATCTTCAATCAATATGGGAAACCATATATCAAACAGTTTTTATCTAACTAGATATATTTTATTATTTTATTCTAATTTAAGCTAAACCAATTATCATATAGAGAAAATGCACATAAAACATATTAGATAACGTAATTCTTGGGATTATTTTTTCCAATGTTAAATTTGGTTATTCTTGATCTAAATTTCTATCCATTTCAATCCTTCCAAAAAGAATTCCACAAATTATAAAGTCAATTCAACACTTACTATTCTATATATTTATAATTCATTGAATTCATTTGCTATTAAAATCATTCTCCACACTCTATTTTGATTATGCTGATTCCACCATTTTTAATACATTATTATCTAATTTGTCTGTTAATTCTCTTTGTCTCAATACTACAGATATTTCCCAATCTATAAAGAACACTTGAACATCAGCTTATCTCAAAATTAAATTGAACATTGATATCAATCTACATGCAAACATCATAAAAATAATATTTCAAATGATCTATAATTATTATCATAGTCTGAAAGTGGAGGCATCAATATATATCGAGTTTGTTGGAATTTAAAAAAACAAAACAAATATCCTGTGAAAATAGCCAAATAATAAAAGATGCTTCTGCCCAAGTTTCCAGTTTAATATAAAATGATTTTACATGTGAAACAATCAAAAGTGCAGAAGCAACAGTATAGAAACTTATTTTAGCTTAATAGTAATAGTGACCATATTAAAAAGGATAATATTTTTAAGTTTAAATTTTGTGATTGTTAAAGGTTCACTGTAAATTACATAAATATAAAGTAGAAATGTTTTATCCTCTTCTTTTGAAGATAAATAACTAATCAATTAGATAGATTCTGCATAAATAATTTCTGATGGACTTTTCAAATTATCAACCATAAAAAATCTCAACAAAAATTTAGTATTTGTATAACATTAATCAGTTTCTATTTTTCAATTTCCATCATAACCACTAATTTTAATTGGAATTTAAATGAAATTTCCATCAATATCTTTATCCAAACTGAATAAAACGCTTTCTATTAATGGCTTCTAAATACTTAGTAAAATCTAGATCAAAACTTAATATAATATATAATTATACTAATTCTTATTTGTAACTCCAAAATGAGAAGCTAAATCAGTATCTGCAAAATTAGAACTGCATAATTAGAATTGATTTTGAAGAGGTTTTAATCCACTAAGACTTCCATTTATATAGTATTCAATAACATAAAATTGAATTTAATTTAGACTACTAGTTCTGTCTTCTTTAAAATTGACTTACATTTATATAGCAGTATCTTCAATTAAAGTTACTGATGTAACAGTTGTTGAAACTTCATGAATAATTTTTGGCATATTTTTTTTATTTTATGATGTTAAAACTGTAATTGTAATCCCTTTCTGTGCTTAAAGTTGATCGTTTTAAAATGAATAAATTTGCCAATTATTAACATGAGACCATATCATTATAAATAATACAACCATAATATGCTTTTGGTCCAATAATTTAAGCAATTCAGTTGATAAATATATTATAAATTTGAAAATATATTATTAATGTTATTTAGATGTATCATCTTAAAACACATTCAAATATTAAGTACCACAATAATTATCATAGATGTTGTAGATCCTGAACATGAACATTTTCCTTATACATTAATTAAATTGTTAGGACATAATTAGCAAATATTAGTTGGAAGTGTAATTGCATGTCCAGAACATGAATAAGCTGAACTTTACCAAGATCCTGTATCAGCTATACATAAATTAGTTTCTGCTGGACAAACTTAATTTTAGGTTCTCCCTTATTGTTGAATCACAAATATACTAATAAAAATAATACAAATGCGTATTTACTTAATTATTTATTAAACCTGCTCCTGTTGGACATATCTCACATTTTTATGATAATGAATTATAATAATATTCAATTGTCTCACATTTTTAAGTATTTACTTATTATATTATGAATAATATAAATAACATTTTAATTATTATTCATTTATTCATTACAATCGATTATTCCATTGATCCAAAAATGCCTCCATATGAATTTTTTGAATTTTTATAAGGGTTCCATAATCTAGAACTTTTCATTTTATTTTTATCATACTTTTTTATAACTTACAATAAATTATTATTTTGCATATATCCTTAAAAATTGTAAAAATTATCAACTGAAAAATTTATCTATTAAGGGTGAGATTAAATATACTCAAGCTAATTAAAATCACTTACTTGTTGTTCTAATTCATCTTTTGTTAAATGTTTTGAAGAACATCTTACATTAGATTATTATTTTCTTAAGGATTGAGATTTATTAAATGATTATTTAGATTATTATTTATTTAATTCTTTTTTTATTCCATTCTATACTAGATTCTTTTTTATTAAACTTTGTAAACCAGAAATAGATATCCTAGGGGGTCTTTAAATGTTTTCAACTAATTAATCAGAACCTTATTTTTCAAAATTAAAAAAATCTTTACTTTGTTATTTAATATCTATCATTAATTTACTACTAATTCCTTATGTATTTTACTAAATATGACCACCATACATTTTTGTATTAAATTGTTAATTTATATCTTCAATATCATGAAAATTAGTCATAGATTAAGTTTAAGTAAATTCTTAAATTGATTCAACCACTTTACTATTCACTGCTAAAGAATTGATTTTATCACCAGCCCTTGTAAATTTATTTCTCTTCATATCTTACTATATATATTTATCTGGTTGCATCACTACTCTAAATCGATCTGGCTAATATGAAATTAATGGACATTCAATATTTGTATGATTGTACAAATTGCAGATGTTGCATTTTTTTAAAATGACTTAGTAATTATTCAGGTATATAATGTTATCTTTAATATTATGAAATCTTTGGAAATCCTTGTGGGTTACACTATTAAATAATTTCATCAAAGAATTTCTATGAATTCTGTATAATGTTGAGTGCCCATAACTTATAGCTTAGGTTTTGGTTGGGAATCCAGTAAAAAACTAATGTTCTCCAAATGTCTCATTTAATTTAATTATTTATAAAACTTTATTACTCCTCTCTTCACATAAGAGTACCTGACCCTCTTGTAAATAATATCTAAATATTATATAAATAGATTTACAAATACTAATCTTCTAAATCACCATTATTATAAATAACTTCATCTGGAATATATTTTACTTATTCTATTTTTTATGATAATTATTTTAAAATTTGTTAAGAGAAGTTATGAGTAAGAACTGAAATATTTTACATAATGTTCATTTGAATACCCATAGTTAATTCTTATCTTAACTTAACAGGAAGATGACTAATGATTTCTTTAACTTCACTATAATTTTCATTAAATTCTGATTGTATATAATGTTTTACATAATTTCTTACTCTATTTTAAATAGTCTAATTTAATTATCCTTTCTTCATGTAATTATTAATTTGTATTAAACTTCTTCTATAGATAAATGTTTTTCATACTTATATTTCTGTTAAATGTCATAGTAATTTTTCAAAATCATTCCTATACTATTCATAGAATATGCAAACATTCCACTACTTAATAACATCATACAATTAATAAATAACATTTCATATTGGTTTGTTGCAGTTATGTCTCCATAACCTACTGTAACCATAGTCATAATTGCCCAATAAATTGAATAATTATATTATACCCAAATTGTAGCTTCATCTATAGAATACTTTAATAACCATGATTAACCTGTACTCACTGTCAATTAACCAACATAATGAAGTATACAAGCCATTACATGTGCAAATGAAAGAATTGTAATTATTAATGTAAATATCTCTAATGCATAATTAAAACTTCCTTTTAAAAACATTGTCTCATTACAATTTGAATAGTTTTTTAACATTTTTTTAAATGAAACTAATATTATAAATCCACAAGCAACACTATTAGATATATTATTAATATCTAAATATTAAATTATCCAACAACTAATATCTATTATATCTTCAAATAAATAATTAGTTAAATAATTCGTTACTATCTTCTTTTAATTAGTTATAGTCTCACCAGAAATATTTATTGGCCTATTAGTCTATATAATTATTTCAACTAATATTTGAAATATTATTCCCAACTAGAACCATGTAAATATATTATTTGCAGGTCTAAAAGATACTATCAAAGGAGATATCCAAAGACATAATATCTTTATTAATAAGGATAAAACATCTAATATCAAAGTCATTTTACTCCCAGGTATTAGATATATTTATTTATCTTAGTTTTATGAATTAACTATTCATTATCAAATTAAAATACATTCCACTCTTTTTGAACTATTTTATTCATATTTAAAATGGTTTTGAATTACATCTTTGTATTCTTTACACATTATATAAGAACGTAAAAATAAATTACGCTTAAACTGTTTAACTAGTCTCTCTTTTGCCAATGTTTTAAACACTTAATTATCAACTAATTTCAAACTTACTTCCTATTTGTTTCTTCGAGTAAGCTATTATTAATCATAATATTCTTACCATTCTACGTGCTGCTCTGCTATTTTTAATTGACTATAATTAAGGATTTGGTGTCTAAGCCACTTCTATATAATCATTTGATATATGAAACAATGAACTTTTAAATAAGTCATGCGAAGATTGCTTCTAATCATTCATTAGTCTATTTTCATCCAATCTTACTTTTGGACCACAAAAATTTTATTCTGTCTTATCAAGACTAAATTACTAAGACAACTAATTCATTGATGTAAATAAAGATAATAAAAAATAATTTTCACTAAATTACTAATTAAGAGAATGCATTTTTGTTAATTTTTATTACTCTTTTTATTTTAGGAATACTACTCTCCCTTTTATTCCATTTTTATTTATCTTTTTATTGAATTCAATTTTAATATCAACATTATTATTATTAAAATTCAAATCAACACTTTCTATGCAATATTATTGTAGAAGAAATATAACTTTAAAAATTAAATATTTTAGATTATGTTGAATACAATTCTAATTAAATATCAATCATAATTATCATTATAAATCAAATCTAATTAAGATTATTGATTATTTTTTTGCCTTAATTGAGGATCTTTAGTGTCAAAACTTTTACATTATTAGAAAAAGTATATTTTCCAAGTTTTTCGTCTTATTTCCAAAATCTCTTTTATTTTTTCTTTTAATATTTTTGTAATTCTTTTATTTATGACTCAAATGTATATTAAGGCATATAATTTCTAAAGGTATTACATATTTTATCCAAATTAAAAGAGGATTTAAATTATTTTTATAATTATTATTATACTTCCTCTATCATACTATAGTTTTTTATTGCAAACTATTCGTCATTTTATATAAGCATTCTTCTTAAAGATGATTTTTATTCAACTTATCCAAGTTTCATTTTCGAAAAAGATGACACTAAATATATAATTAAAAATACTTTTTTATAATTTTAATGGGCCTATATGTTATGTTGCTCTTTTTTGATGTTATCTTGGTGGAGTATTTTCAACATGTCCATCCTCTTCTGTTTATATAAATTAAGATGAAGTTCTTTATTATTCTGAAATATAAGATTTTTGTTTTCCAAATTTTCCTTCTTATTCAGAATCTGTTTCATCACACAATTAATTATCTTATTGAAATATTTTGAGTTATTACTCAATAGGTTAATGTTAAGCTAATGAATGATATTTTCTTTTTATTCTAATAACTTATCTTCGTAAATTAAGAATTTAATTAAAATTCTCTTTTTTTAAAATTGCTTCTAAATCAGGTTTGTATTAAATTAAAGGACAATCAATTTCTTAATGTATGTACCTATTGCAAAAGTTACACTTATGATCAAAAAGAACATAATTTGTTTAAAAAATCAATTTTTCTTTCATATGATGGAAAATTTCAAAATCTTTTTAGTTTTAACGAACAATATCAAGAAATTTCTTTCTACTAATTTTATATAATTCACTTGGGCTTTAACAAATTGCAGTTTCTTTTGGAGGGAAACCTGTAAAAAAAGTATAATACCCTAAATATTAAAAATCTTTCACAGATCTAAGTTTTTACTCAGTTTAAGTTTCAGTTAAAATGACATCTCCATTATATAAAAAATATCTAAATTAAAATTAATAATATTACAAATTATCTTCATGTTAATCTCCTTATTTAAAGATTATATCACCAGGAATAAATTAAATTAATTCTAGATTTTTGGCAACCTATTACTGTGTAAATTTAGAAAAATGATTAATAATTAAATTCATTTTTTTGATTACTCTAGATTAAATATCTGTATTTAATTCTTATTGCAAATTCTTAGGCAATTAATTAATGATGTTGGTTATATCATCTTAATTTTCTTTTTTCTCTTATGCTTATTAAAACCTTAAATAATTTCTTATTCTTCCTTAAGTAGATTCATCAACTTAATTTTTACTCATATATTAAATCATTTAAATTAAGTTCTTTCTAATTATACTTTTAATCATACTTATAAGTTTGTTTAGTATCATAAACATTTTTAAGAATTATTCCTATTGAACTCATTGTATAAGCAAAAGCATAACTAGAAAAAAACATTATTAGTGATGACACAATCATTTCAACTTAATTTTTAGCAGAAAAATCTCCATAACCTACAGTTGTCATTGTCATAGTTGCCCAATAAAAAGCAGAATTATATCTATGCCAAACTGTTTCTTCATTTAATTAATTTTCTAATATCCAAGAATTCTCTAAATAATATGTGCTCTCTCCAACATAATGCCATACACAAGCAATAATATGAGCAAAAAAATAAATTTGAATTATTAATTACACTAAATCTAAAATAAAGTTTTATCCTCCTTTTGAATAAATATATTAATAATAATATTCTTATAAATATCTCATCAACTTTTAATATATTAATGTTATTTATAAGACTATTATTATTTCAAAGCAAAATGTAAACAACAACTAATATTTAAGATCAGCCCAAATTACTAATCTTAAGAAATCTGATAAAGCATTTGATTTTAAGTATTATTTTATAATCTTTTTCCTATTTCTTATTAAAACTGCAGATACAAATATTCCTCTATTAAATTATGCTAAAAAATCAAAAATTAATTATATCAAAATTATTGATTGCATTATAGATATGGATTCATTATAATAATTATTAAAGGCTCCTAGAAATGGAGTAAGCCAAAGCATCATTAAATTACAAATAAATCCAATAATATCCCAAATCATTATTGAATTTGTAGATGGTAAGAATATTGGAATAACTGATTTATTTTCATAATCTCGATAATAAATATTTAAAATACCTTTCTTTTTTTACTATGAAATAAATTGTTTTTCAAGTAGCTTATCCTTAATTTTCTATTTCTGAGTATTTCTCAGAATATATGAATTTGTAAATAAATTATTTATGAATCGATGAACATGTAATTATAATTTGAAGCTTTATACAAAATGAGATTATTTCTATGTTTAAATTGTTCTAAGTGCTCTATTTGTTAAAAATAATGCATGCTTCTTAAATTCAGTCTATATATTGTTCATTTTGTTACTTTACTTTCAAATCTCGACATGTTCATATCTATACTTTTATTTTCTATCATATCTCTTTGGCTTTCTATTTAATAATCCTCCTCTAGCATTAAGTTACTCTGAGACTCTTACTTAGAGGTTAATTATTAAGTCAGTGCAGATGGTCCCATTCGCTATGACATTAAAATGTCTTCCATAACTATTTTATATATTATATTTAGGATTTAAAGATAACCCTTTTAATTGCATTATTCTTAATTCAAAATACATTTCAAGTCCAAACATATATTACATGTATAAAAAAGAATCAACTCAGAAACTTTCAGTAATATTTTTAAATGAAAGCTTATATAAATTTAGAGTTAATTGATAACTACCATTATCGAGTTATTTTATTTTTACAAGACTTTATTATTTAAAAGTATTTTGATTTTATTATGAAAAAAATCCAACAAAAATAAAATTTATCATAAATTATTCAATATAATTTATAATAAATAATTCAATTTTTATTATAATGAGCATTAAGTTTGATAAACTCGAATTAGCCAAGTTTTTTAATCGCTTATATATTTCATTTATAATAATGATGTGTTAGATATTAATCTAATTATCTAACTTTTAATTTAGATTTAATAGATTCAAAAATTTTTATTGAGTTTATCCGTTTCACTTTAAAATTATAGCTTTTTATTAGGTATTATTATTGAAGGGAAACAATAAATTTTAATATCTAGATTTCAATTCAATAGTTATTTTAGAATGAGAATATTTATATTTTAAGATCAATTTGAGATAAGTTATAAGAAAAACAATGTAGTGTATATAATTAAATAAAATTTGAATTGAGTTTATAAGATAAACTAATCTTTAAATCAAGTATAATCATAATGATTGTAATCTAAATGGATTAAAAAATGTTTGAAGATAATTTAAAATTCTTAAGGAAAGTATTGTTAATATAAAAAAATAGAAATGTTTTATAATAATTCTAATCACCGAAAGTTCTAGATTTTAATGACATTAATAATGAAACCAGCAAATATTATTAGTTGAATTAAAAAAATAACAAATGGCTAAACAATAAGGAGCAGGATCAATTTGGAATCCAAATAGTTGGCATTGGGAAGAGAAAAATTACACTCCAATTTCTAAATAATTGATTGAATCTAAGATCAAATCAACCAAAGTTGAATCTGGAGATATAACATTATTGAATTAAGAAGTGAAGTCTATTACTGGAGATGTAAAATTATTTAATATTGTAAGGCTTAAGTTAACATAAGAAAAGGAAAACAAGTTTTGATTTACGATTTTGATATTGAAGTAGAATGGCATGGTATTTAAATAATTCTAAAATTAGGTGTAAATAAGGATCATGAAGCAGAAGGAACATATAAAATAAAAGACTTAAATTCTTTAGATAACGATTTTGAAATAATTCATATAAGCTGCAATACAAAAACAGCAATTTCTGATAAATGCAAAGACTTAATTAAGAAAGACATGTTCAAAAAATTAAGAGATGTTTTTACAACATTGATGTAAGAAATAGGATAATATGAATCTGATCCAGAAAAATTGTAAATTTGAATTTTTATATTTAGAAAAAAAGACTAGGAAGCTAGAAGAATAGCAGAAGAATAAGTAAGATTAGCAAAAGAATAAAATGGAGATTTAAAAGAAAAAATCTTTTAAGAACAAAAACTCAAAGAGCAATAAATGAAATAAGAGTTCTCTTAATTTGCATAAAAATGAAAATATAAATATTTAGAGTTAAATTCAACTAATATATGTTTTCATTTTTGTTTTTAAATTAAATCATAATGCTCTTTTTCTAAGTAATTATTTTAAAACAAATTCATATTCTTAGATTTTTTTTTAAATAAAATTTGTTATTTTTTTTTATTTTCTGTAAAATTCAAAAAAAAATAATCTATCTAAATATAATTTATTGAAAATGCGACAAATTACAATAATATGTGAAATATTTATTTTTGTTAATGATTAGTATAATAAAAATGATGATAAATATATAAGAATATGAATTTATTATTATGAATCAAGAATTATGATTTTGTAGAGGTTTAAATTTCTCTCCTTTAATTAAAGAATTATTTGGTAATGGTAGAGCCTTTTTTGATTTATCTAAAAGTTATGTATCAGTGATTTAAGAATATTAAACTTTATGTAGAATCATTTTTTTTTCAATTAAATCTAATTCATTATCTGAATCAAAAATAATCCATCTTTCTCTATTACCATTTTTCCATTCTCCTTATTTTCTTTATTAACCAGCAATAAAGATTCCTTTTCCATTTTATTTACCTTCAGACCAATATCCAATATATTTTTTACCATCAGGCCTTAAATAATAATTACAATTACCATTCAAAAATTCCTTATCCATGTTTTTAATCATCTGCATATTCACCTATATAAACTCTTCCATCACTCCATTAAAATAAACCTATTCCATGCATTTTATTATTTAACCATTCTCCACAATATTTTCTACCATCTGGCCAACAATAACGACCAATCCCATTAATTTAATTATTTAAAAATTAACCACAATAAGATGCTTTATCTGCCCAAACTAAAATCTTTATTTAAAAATGATTACCAAACTTTCCTTTTCCATGTTTTACTCCATTCTAATATTCTCCTTCATGTTTTGCTCCATCTGGCCATATTTCTATTCCAAATCCATTTTATTAATCATTATTCCAATTACCTTCATATCTTGCTCCATCAGAATGAATATAAATTCCATAACCCTTTGATTTATGATCTTCCCAATCCTAATTATTATTATTTAATTTTACTCCATCATATATATCTCCATTAGCATGATACAATCTTCCTTTTCCATTTGCCATATCTTGAATCCAAAAACCTTCATATATTGATCCATCTTTCCATATTTATATACCTTTTCCAAATTTCTTATTACCTGACCATTCTCCTATATAAATTGCTCCATTATCTAATAAAACAGCATTTCTAAAAAATCTATTTTCATATGTCTCACTTTCATTATCTAAATATCTATATTCTGAAAAAGGAAATGGTGCCATCTATTTATTAATTGCTTTTACTATATTATACTTTGCTAAATTTTGATAAATGAGTTAAAGTAAACTATTTTAAAATATTGTTCACTTTAGAATTGTATAATTAAATTTAAACATAATGATATTTCTTTCTTATTATCCATCCTCTCAATAATGCTTATATTTTTATTATGCATCTTAATAATTTTAACTCTTCATCTTCCATAGAATTTGCTTTTCTACTCACTTTTAATTTCTTATCACTTTCGATTTGATTATGGTCAAAATTAACTGTCTTTACACATGCACAATTTGCTTAACCCATATGACTGTTAAATAATTAATTTATTATTTTAACTTCATATTTTCTATATTTTATTTTATTTATTCATTCACTTATCGAAAATAACATTTTAAAATCTTGTTTTAAACCTACTCTTTTATAATTCTCTAAAATTTCAATTTTAATAATAAGATTTTACTTCATATTTCTTTAATACCTTTTATTCATTATATATAATTAATCTTTATTTTATATATTTTATGTAGATTAAAATGAAATTCATTAATCGATAATTAATCAAGTTTCTCTTACATTTTATTTTCAAAACTAAAGAACACTATCTAAATTAAGCAATCCATAAATTAAATTTATTTATAATTATGATGATGTCATCTTGAATAAATACTATTGTTTGTTTGTTGTTATCAAAATTCATTTGATTCAAATATAATAAAATAATTTCTATTTTTATTTAACTATTTATGCAAAAAAGTGATCAAAATAAAAATTCAGGTTGTTTATGTTTTGGGAAGAAACAAAAGGGAGAATTTCCAAAGACTTTTAAGAAATCTGGAAAAATTCTAAAAAAATATAAGGATAATAGTTTGGATGTATTAGTTTTACATTTCTTTAGATTTCAGATGATGTCATTTTAGAAGTGATGATTAGATTATATATATCTGAGAACAAAGGGAAAGCTATTGAAATGCTTTAAAGATGCCGTATCAATCCAAACTTTGAATCTAATCTTATAAGAAATGATTTGGAATATTTTATCCCATAACTAATAAATTTCTTAGTGTTTCATTAATAACTTTC